ACATGCATAGACAGATGTGTTGCCTCAAACCTCTGCTGCAAGACTACTGCTCTAGTGTAAGGTCATCCCTGGCCACTGTGAACAGGTGACTAAAACATGGACATCAGCAACGCTTTAAAGCAAGGGCCAGCAAACTGTAGCCCAAGGGTCCAAATTTAGTCCACCATATATTTTTGCTAACGAAGTTTTAAAGAACACAGCCACACATTCATTTATGGATTTAGTTAAACAATTGGGACACAAAGCCAAAAATATTTACTATATTGCGCTTTGCAGAAAAGTTCACCAACTTTATAATATGAATTAAAGGTAAGAAGAGACCGAGTTAGGAAAATTATCAAAAATGCGAACAACCAAAGGGGATGAAGAAGCAGCAGAAAGGGACTGTTCTAAGAAATAAGGACTGTCTTCATTGACACAACCTCCAATCTTCACCATGAAAATATTCCAGGCAGTGTTTGAAGATTAAGCTGTGAGATTGAATAAAGAAGCTTAATGTATAACTAGTACTTAACAATTTTTTTAAAAATCACAAGAAAAGATTTGAACAGGTGATATCCAAAGCAGCTTCTACAGGAGCCTAATTAAAGGAGAGCTAATCATTACATATATTTACAAATTCTAAGTTTTCTTAGGGAAGTTAGGTTTTCATTTATAAAATAAATATTTAAGTTCATAATAAAACTATGCTAGAACTATTGGTCATATATGATTTTTAAGGGTATCAATGCTACAGTGTGTGCTGAAACCCAGAATAATCATTGCCTAAGCATAGCATTTATTCAATGACACCAGCTGACGTAGAGGTTGAAGACAGTAAAGAGGATCCAAACTAGTCTCCCTGCTTTCAGGGAATTCCACCAAGAGCTGCCATCCACAGCCTAACAGAACTAGCTTCCTCCAACCAGGTCTATCAAGTCACTTCTGTCTACGAGGTTCTTCTGGCTCACACTGTACTTCTCAGTCTGGCTTCAGCTTAACTTTCCAGCCTCATCTTCAGGTAACCCCAGGCTTCAGATACACTGGAATACTCATTACTCTTGAAACAACAATAGCTAACAATTACTGAGCACTATCAATGAGTGCTGTGCAAAATACTTCACATAATCTCAAACCTTGGAACCACTTTATTCTATAGATATTAGCATTGCTCTTGTTATCACATTGGCTTTAACACTCCATAGGGCACCAACGCCTTTCAAAGTACATGGTCATATGTTTGTATAAAGTTTACAAAAATAAATAAATAAATAGTTTGTATTCTTTATGCTAAACAGGTCCTACAAATTTGCATAAGTGTCAAGGTGCACACAAAGGAAACCCTAGATCGGCCTCTGGTTATTAAAATTCCCATTTTGTAATAATCATGGAAGTTAAATAAATCAACAAATTCCTCTTGCAAAGGAAGTAGCAGAGGTATCATTTAAACCCAGGTCTACCTGTCTTCAGAAGCTAAGAACTTTAATTAGAGTGCTAAGGCTGTATCTCTGTTCATGCTATTCGCACTGCAAAGAATAGCCATTCCTCCCCTTCCTGCTTTCATCACCAGATCCCTAGCAGGCTGCTACTCCTCCTCCAAAGCCCAGCTAAAACATGCCTCTGTCTTCCCAGCTTTTACCGATCTTTCTTGACAAAACTGAGACATCCTTAGATATCCCTCTATTTTTAACTACTTATAATAGTTCATACATGGTATAATGTCATCAAAAGAATATATCTTTGGAGTCAAACTGACCTAGGATCAAATTATGGGTCTGGCTAAATATTTGCTATACAATTTTAGGCAAAACCTTTAACCTCTCTGACACTGAACATTTTGATCTTTAAAACTGAAGTAATGATTCTTACCACAATCAGACATTTAAACATCCATCCATCCTTTTTATTCAATCCACAAATACTTACTGAATGCCTACTACACTCCAGGTGCAAGGCAGACAAAACCATGGGAACCCACAGGCAACATTTCTGCCCTCACAGAGCTCAGATTCTAGTGGACAACAAGTCTCCAGAGTGAGAAGAGTATTGTGATTGGACCAAGGTGGGGTGCAGAACTTGAGGGTCAGATAAGGACAATGTAGATGAATAGCAATTCACTGAAAAGTGTCATAAAAATATAACATAGCAAATGTTCAAGACAGATACCACAAGTAATTTCAACTTAATAAAATACTTCCACCCCACCCACACCTGATCACATGGCCCTCATTTCTTACGCATTTGAAAATTCCTCTGTCAGGGATGAAACTGGGGTTTTTTTTTTTGGTGGTTTTTTTTTTTTCTTTTACAGTAAGTGGGTCAACAAAAATGAAATCTTTTTGCACTGTACTGGACAACTGAGACCACAAGACTAATGGAAGAGGCCAAATTAATAAAAATAAAACCCAACAGTTTCTTAATATACTGTCACAACCACAAGAATTCCTTAATATTTATTCCTGTTTTCTGTGTTAGAGCATTTAATGACAGAACAAGGAAATCATTTTTACATTTTTCTGGGGGCTGAACTGCTGCACAATGTGAGAGAGCAATTGCAGCTTTCAAAAGAGATGCTAATTGTAGCTTTTAAAATATTAGACTCCCTCTAAACACCTGTCACCCTCTCCCCTAAGAGTTTCTGGGTCTTTCTTCAAGTACTGGGAGGATTTGCCATGTAGGCTTCATTTTCTTAACTAAGGATTTTAGAACATTTTTGGTGAGTGACTCATTCCTAGCTCCTCAAGGACCCTAAGTCTCCCACATTCAGCAGTGCTGGAAAGAAGACCAGCCATATTTAGACAACAAACCCACAACTATTAGAAAAGCTGCACTGGACCATAAACAAAAACAACTCATAACCTCCTCCTTTATTCCATCTCAAGTGGGAACTTCCTTATTACTCTGGACTTCCCACCAGAAGTCAGCAGTTGCCCTGTGGAAAGGGTCTACCACAGAGACCTGCTGCTGCTTCTTACTTCCTGGGAGAGTGAGAGGGATGCTTGCAATTAAATTTACCAGTGCTTTTCTTTACAGTAACATGACATGTTTAGGAGACAGGAGGGTGGGGGCAGCAACTGCTCCCACATATTATAACTATATATTCAATTATTGGAAAATCACCCCATTCCAGCCAAAACGGATGTGGAGGAGGAGGAAAGCGGAAAAGAAGTCACAAAATATGTAATAAGAATAAAATTAAGTTATAAAAACATGGGAGGTCAATACTTTAAGAATGCCCCCACACTTTCATCAGCCAGGGGGAAATGGAGATGGCAATGCTGGGGCTGGGGTTGTGGCTCAGTGGTAGAATGCTTGCCTCACATGTGTGAGGCACTAGGTTAGATTCTCAGCACTGCATATAAATAAATGAATAAAGTAAAAGTCCATCAACAACTAAAAATATATTTTTTTAAAAATGCCAATGCTTCTGGCTTTGGGCTATAAATGTAGGGGACATAAAACCTTTAGCTCTGAAATCCACAAAGTATCTGTTTAATTATAACATTTTTTTTCTGAAAATATAAAGATCTGATTCTGGTCTTAAAAAGAGGCTGACCCTTAATCAGTACATGAAACTACCGATGGACCTCAATTCTTGCTATGAAGTATGTGATCTATAAACATTTTTATGAAAAACTAAATACAATATCCTTTTATACCTAATTCCCAGTTTCATAGATTTCTGTCTTAATGATAGATATCTACTTAATTACACAGTGGGATTAGAAGCAAATTAAGGAGTAGATGGGCTGGCATTACCAGGGGCTCTAGTCTATCAAGTAATCTAAAATATTGGTGAAAAACATTATTGGGAATAGAATCAGATGAGGAAAGTTCTATATGCGGGCACTTCTCTTAGGGAAAGGAGTGAGTGTGGAGAGTGGGGGACAAATTTTTGAAAAGAGGCCTGA